TCCTTTCTCTTCCAGAGATGACATTTGAGTCCTCCTCCAGCAGTCTTAGCTTGCCACGGCTTCAGATATTCATAGTTGCTTGTAATAAATTGGTTATATTATTTAAGATATTTATTGAGAGCCAGGTATGTTGAGAGTCATTCATTACTGGCCATTGAATCCTGACATAAATAGAACATTGAAGACATCCTCATTTACATTTTGTTTTAAAACTTGCTAAAGGTTTAGAAGCAAAGAGATGACAAAGGAGAGCTTAAAAAATTTTTTTTTGGCTTGGGGGTGGATTTTTTGGATTTAGATAATAGTTTGAGGGTGTAAATTAAAACTGGCACACAGAATATGAACCTGGAAGCTGTGAATTCATTTGTAAAGCCCTAGCCTCAGATACAGGAAAGTAATTAAGCACATCCATCTTTCTTCAGTGGGCTTAAACCTCCAGAAGGTAAGGCAAAGCCAAAGTAGTTAAACTTCTCTAATTGAAATTGAGGACTCTTGAAAAGATGGCTCAGCATTGGTTGGATCATATCCATGGCATATAGAAATAAAAGAAATTTCAGCAGGCAGCATTTATTACAATGAAGAAGCTGAGCTGACAGTTTTTAGAAAATTATGCCCCCCCCCCCGAAGTCCACATGTATAGTAAGCTGTTCTTTAGAGTGGTCGTTGAATATGCTTGCATTTGTGCTGATGGAGAATGCTTCTGTTGCCAATGGGACAGAGGCCAAGAGACATCAGGAACTAGTACCAGTGGATTAATCTACACAAAGCTGGATGTCAGGGAAAGAAAACAAATCTCTTTGTTCTCTTACAGAAGGAATGGCATCTGTACTGTAGCCACGTCTACCCAGATTTAGTGCATGCGATCTTACAAGAAAGAATCTGTCAGCTGTTTTTTTAAAAGTGCACTTTTCAAGTTCCTCTGTACTGTCTGACACCCTAATTGGCCATTAGAATTACATTTCAGATTCAGACTGTATTGTCCTTAACCTGACAAGTGTTCTATTTGGTTGCTCAACTGATTGTCCTCACACTGTGGTTGGATTCAGACCTTCTTCTTTGAAGGAATGGATTACACCTTCCTCTTTGGCCACAGGATTTTGTGCTTTGAAGGCACAGCACCATGTTTCTAAACACATTTGTCTGAGCTAGAGCTCTTCTTGTATTTCTGATGCAGAAATAGTGATCTTGTAAAAATGCCATTTGTTTAAATGGAGGGGGCAGGTAGAGACTTGAAGAGGAATACCCACACCTGTGGTGCTTCAGTTGAAATGAGTTAAGGTAGAGTTTATGAGCAGTGAAGTTTCTTGTGTCTATCAGAGCAATTAATCACACAAAGCAAGACCAGGAGAGGGCTGCAGAAGAGTGCAGGAACCCCATCCTATCTGTACCCTGTCGCTCACAGCCTATCTCCACAGAGCTGCTTCTCCAGCTGATCTCCAGTATTGGAAGTAACCCGTGGTTGTTGAAATAGGGTCGGGGGGGGGAGACATGTGAGTTTATGGAAGGTTCAGTGCCACTCATCTGGGCATCCTTTTTGTGGTGAAGGCTTGGATCTTCCATTGTGCTATTTCTTTTTTTTATTGTGGCAGTTCCTAATTTAAACACACAAGAACTGCTGCCATTACTCTAGTCTGTGTTTTTTGGCCTACTTCAGGGACGGAACTACCTACCCACATATGAGTCTATTTGAGCAGGGCTCTCTGTGGAAAACAGTGTTGTAAGTGACTTCTATGCATTTGGGGGTGATTTTAGTTATTCTTTCAGAGATTCAGACCCTTCTTTTGTGGAAGATCACACTGTTGTGGTTAAAATCCACCCAAATACTCTGAGTGGCCACTTGTGCAAGCAGCTGACCACATTGGGAATTGTACTCTCAAGATGAAGCTGCCTTACACTGAATCAGACCCTTGTTCCATCAAGGTCGGTATTGTCTGCTCTCACAAGTTAGCAGAGGAGCAAAGAGATGAGCAGCTGCAGAGCATGGAGTCCTGTTGCCCCTTAGCCCAGGCCTGCAATCCTAGCATACTTGTCAAGAAAAAAGACTTAAGCCAGCTCACACAATCTTATTGCCAGGGTGATAATGCTGAAAACAGTCTCCCTGTATTTTCTTCACCTCATATGTAATGTTCAAAACACAATACTGTGCAGATGGCTGCTGTCACTTAGGTTTTCCTGGCACCAACTGAAGAGGGTGTGGAAGCACTCTAGATGATGGTGACCATCTGCATGATCTGCTTTTCTAAATATTGCACAACTTGTGTGTAGTGTGGGGGCTAATAAATTCCGAAGTCCCTAGTGCAAATCTCCTTTATGCAATAAATTTCATAGATGGTATTACGTAGGCCATTATCTCCCAGAACATAGCCACTACCATCTCTGCACCACATTGGGATAATGGCCAGTATCCAACCATGCAGTTTTTGCCAATTTTCCCCTCCCACTGCAGACCTGCACTTTGTCCCCTAAGCTGTACCTAGGGGTCTGCCAAACTCCAGGAACAAAATTTCAGGAGTTTCAGTAGGCTTCACTAGGGGGAGAAAGTACTGCTTTGCAAACTCCATGGATGACTGGATGCATGCCAATAATATGAGCCTACCTTACTGTGCTGTTGTAAGGATAAATGAGTTAATGTATATGAAATGCTTTGAACAGTCTAAAGTGCAATATACTGTATTAATGCCTGGGATCATCATTACTATGGCTGAGGGTGGGGTGGAGAACTTATTACAGGGTTAATGTTTGGTTGTAGAAAGGAATTGTGCCTCTTACTTATTGTCCATCACATTCAAAATTCTGTTGGTGAGTGATCTTAAGGGAAAAGTTTGTAAACTGAAGAGACCAACCTCACTGGCATGTGAGAATGTACTTGTCACATACCTGCTGATAAGTTTTCACTTGGATGAAGACCTAAGGAAACAGTTTAATCAAGTGGTATCTTATTTATCCATTATCCGTTGACACATTAGGAAAAATGTTAATAATCAGATGAAGTTATAGGTATGGGAATGTTACATGTTTAAAGGAAAGACATATAGTTTATATTCTAAGTGGCCTAGGAGCAAGCAGCTAGAATGAAGTGGAAAGTTCACATTGAATTCCAGAAGTCTGTGTACTACTTTTATGTGCAGTGTGCCTTGCAGTCATGTCCACTCTCAGAACAGCCTTGAGATAGGTCACTAGTCATGTCTTATAAATGGCAAATTGAGGCCAGTCAATCCACTCAGTGAATTCACAGCTGAAATGGCATCAGAAGTTAGTATCCAAGTCCGCTGTACTATCCAGTCTATAACACTACAAACTCTTTTAACACCTGTCTGGGTTAGTAAGTAGTGGAGGTGGAGGAGATCAGTTTCCTCTTAGTCATGCCCTTTTTGCTCTTAAAATCTCCCCCGGCCCAAGGAAAACCTGGCCTTCAAAATAATGCCGCCGTAATATGCAGTATGAGACTTAATTACCTTGGTCCTTCAGTGATGAAGGCTCCTCTGGTAAAACCTTAATGTGTGGAAAGATCTTGACACACTTGGTGGATATATTATAGCTTTTTTTCTCATGCGGTTTTCATCAACCTTTCTTCCAGACCATACACACCTATGAGAGGGTCCTTGTCCACTGTGTGGTTTGACAGATATAAGATCTCTAATGATTGCCCAGAACATATTGAAACCATTGACTCGATGTGTCAAGACCTTACGGGTTTGATTGATGATGAAGTTAAAAATGGCATCAGGAAGAACAGGATACTCTTGGGTAAGATTTAAAGGAAGAACATATTTAAAATGTGTGAAAGAGCTCATCCTGTGAATTGAGTCAAGCCTGAAATATGGTAAGTGGTTGTGGAGGTTTTGAGCAGCCAAAGAACTCTTTAATGGTTTGGGTGGAGCTGCGGCTGATCCCTTCAAGGGGCAATGTACGGCCATTATAACCGAAATAAATCTTAAGTAGGCTTGTCATGTTGGGCTTCCACTGCCACAAGCCAATTAATTTTGAAATGGACCTTCCTTAGGGATCATCATTAAGGAACAAACTCTACAGACACCATCTAAAAGTTTTTATTTGTATTTGGGTTGAGAAGCAAAGTACAATCTATTGGCTGGATTTCAATGTCATAACAAACCACATGATATAAAACCATGGTTTGATTAAACTACAGTTCAAAATGATGTCTGGATACAGACTGTGGGTTGTTGTTGGATGCTAAAATAGGTTTCAGAACCCATAAGATTCTGAACTATGGTTTGTCCTGATGCCCGAGTGCAGACCTCCCAGTGTGTTCAACAGTTCCATCCCTTTTAGCCTCCCAGAAACAGAGAGGGCAACACAAACCATAGAAGTTGCTCAGGCTCCATTCAGCTATGGGATGGTGTGTCCTTCCATCTGCCTGCTCACCATTCCCCCAACTTGCTAAGGATTACTTTCCCAACAGAAATGTGCTTTTTGGGACTTCAGCCTGTCCAGAAGGGAAGTTCAAAAGGCAGGAACAAAATCTATAGAAAACAGCAGGAAAGCTGTAGAAAACCTCCTTGTTTCAGAGTTGACTTTAGAAGGAAGCTTTGCAGTGCCTAGAAAGGTAGCAGGAGAGAATTGGTGTGTGTGTGTGTGAAGATTTATTTTGTTTCTGAGGTTAAAGTTCAAGAATTAAATGAAGCAACAATAGAAGCCTAAACCAAGAACAAGAAGGCTTTTCTTACCTTTGGTTTATCCCACCCCTCCCAAAGTTTGCTTATCCCATTTCTTGCAGGTGAGTGATCCCACGCAGGCTGCATGCATGAGGAGGCTTGGCTAGAAGCCTGGCCATGCAAGGTGTCTCAAGATGGCACTGGGAATTCTGTTGGAGAGGGGGATAGCAGCAGATTAACCTGCATGTACAAACAAATTGTGGCCTGTTTACATACACTGGGTAGGCTAACCAGGAGTTGTGAGACAAAGTGGGTTGACACCTTGTTGTGTTGTCTGAATGAAACAGTTATGTAAAGTGAAACGTTCTGTCACCATCACACAGACTCAATTGCAATAGGAGCTGCGGAGGAACACAGTCATGCATTCATTGTGATGAGACTAGTGAAGAACAACATTCCTAGTGGATTTTGCCCAATATCTTGAGGACTTAACCAGTTTAAATGCTTTATAAACAATTCACATATCTTTTTAAACCATGGGTTTAGGGGAAAAGTATATGCCATCATATGTGGAATTTGTACAAGCCTCTTTTTGCCATGTTACTGAGAAGCTACTGCAGCTTCCAGATACACATGTAGTTCTCATGTATTTACATGCCCCCCCGGAGAAAAAACAACTGTGTGAAGTGGTCCTAGTCTTTTGCTTTATTTGTAAGAAGTGAATGCTACAGGCACCACAGTGAATAATCCAAGGTGCAGAAAACTTGCTTTTAATGTGGGGATTTGTAAAATCATATCCAGATGCCACCGAGATGCTGACTGGTGGACCAATTCTGCCTGTTTTCGTTCTGGACCCAGCCCCTCTTAAGTCTTTGAAGTACCCTGTTTTATTTTCCTTGGTGGCTCATTGCCCTGGCTCCAGGGTGTGTTGTTTTGGACAGTGGTCAGCAAAGTCTGTTTGATCTGATTTTCCTGTTTTACCTGCTGGCATGGAAGCATATGAAGAGAAGAAGAGCAGGTGTCTCCCATAGAAGGGGCTGGGAGGACATCCCATATAAGACATTGTGTTGTGTCCTAGAAAAACACAATCTAGGAAAGGCAATTATGAAGAGAGTTTTCTGTCTGGAAAGTCACTTTTTTGGGAATATGATTCTACTTGGAACAGTTTGCCTAAAAAAAAGAAAAAAAGAAGATGCCCAAGCTGACTGGTGACTGTCCAAAGAAAACGTCACTACTTAAATAGCACAGGTGAATTACTGCACTTTTAAAAAAATACATCTTGTTAAAACATCCGTCTGTTTTACATAAGTGAAAGGACACATAACTGATATGTAAATATAATCCTAATAATTAATTCAGAAGGGAAGGCAGCATGGTGTAGTCCAATCTTGTCTGATCTCAGATACTAAGTAGGGTTGGTACTTGTAAGGAAGACCACCAAGGAAGACTGTGCAGAGGAAGCTAATGGCAGCCCACCTATGCTTCTCACTTGACTTGAGAGCCTCTTGCTGGGGTCACCATAAATTGACTGTAATTTGACAGCACTTTAATTAATTCAACCTAGTGTTCTTTATTATTAAATCTGTTTACCTATTATTTTTCCTTATTAGATTTTATGCACCCATTCTTTCTGCTCTTCTTAAAAAAACATGATGCATCTTATGCTAATGCAAATGAAGATTACTCTATGCATATATCAAATCTTAAATTTACAGACCACAACCCAGGTGTATTGAAAGACAGATCATAATGCAGCATACTGAATATACATTTTTACACCTAAAAATTCATCCAGGCAGTTCCAAAACAGTTTAATAAGGCTCTGTTGTAGGGATCCCAAGTCCTCCTGGGGGCGGGGAAACCCCTGCCCCAGAGGCCTGTTTCCCGGCGCCACTGGATCGGGCCCTGGGGGGAACTCCTCCCTGACATGTGCGTCACCCGGAAGTGACGGGAGGACGCTGGGCACGCTGGGGGCGGGGCCACGGCCATACAAGGGAAGACTCTATGGTTTTCCCTTGTATGGCCATGGCCCCGCCCCCAGCGTACCCGGTGTCCTCCCGTCACTTCCGGGTGACGTGCATGCCTCACCATGCTGGATGTGTATCCAGCAATGCTTATGGAAGGATACTTATACACAAATACCTCTCTTGCTTGGAGGAAAGTGTTTTAAAATGCAACCTCTAGTTTTTTTCTGTACTCACAGTAGGATATTAAAATAACCTTCAATCCTTTTCATTTAGCTACTTCTAGCAAGGTCTATATTTTTTTTTCCTAGTTCTGCAGATCACTTTTTCTTCTCCCTTTTTTTTTTTTTGGGGGGGGGAGCCATAGAAATGCTGATCCAAGCCAATTGGTCCCTGCCACCTGCAGTCACTTTTATAAGCAGCCAGTGAAAATAAACTTTCAGTGACAGAGCCGTAGACTCAACTGTATGCCAAAGAATACATGCATGATATTTCACCCCTTGTTTCATTACAATAACATGATACGCACAGCCACTTTTTTGTTTATCGTTAGACTTCTTCCAGAGCTAGTGAACCATGGTGGAAGGGGCATGAAAGTGTTGTGTTTCTTATAAAACACTGGCATGCCTAGTCTCTCCATTTATAAAAAGGGCATGGTGCAGGAATAATGCTGTGTGTATCACAGAAGGAAAGTAGTATCAGTATTAGGGAACATCAGCCTCCATGACCTCGTGTTTTATATTTTTCTCTTGGCAAGTTCTGTACTGACTCATGGCTGTAGTCCTTGCAATCAGTCTCTAGTACGTACCAGAAATTTATAGTGCAATCCTAAACACATTCATCATATATTTGATTCTGAACCTGGACCCCATGCAAATTTAAAAGCCAGATAGTGACAGGTACAGATAGGGGGTATTTTCTATGGACCTGGTTTTATGCCCCACCCCCCAGTTTGGAAAAAATACAAAGAAGAAAAGTTTTTGGGAGAAAAGACTGAGATTTCACAATGCAGTGTTGTGAGATCTTAACCACTGCTTTGTAGGTTGCTGTGGAAGAAAGCGCAGGAGCTGCCACCACAGGAGCCAGGTAGGCAAAGATGGCAATGCTGCAAGCGGGCAGAAAGAGGGGGAAATATACAGTAAAATACGGAGGACTGAGTCAATTTGATTAAGGTTACATGCACAAAGTCTAGTTGAATATGGAATCCTATTATATCTGCCATAAGTAACTGCAGATGAAATTGTGTTGCATCTAGCATATGCAAATGCTCTTTGTGGGGAACTCATTGGGACTAGTCCTGACTAGGGTTGCCAGCTCCAGGTTGGGAAATTCCTGGATATTTTGTGTTGGAGTCTGTGGAAGCCGGAGTTTGGGGATGGGGGAGGCCTCAGAATGCCATAGAGCCCACCCTCCAAAGCAGTTATTTTCTTTGGGGTGTGTGTGTAGATCTGTTGTCTGGAGTTCAGTTGTGATACCCAGCAATCTTCAGATTCCACCAGGTGGTTGGCTACCCTAGGCATAGCAGTTAGCACTTCAGAGCAGGGTCTACTAGACCCAGGTTCTTGCTGTGGAAGATGAGTGGGTGATTTCGGACCATTCACAGACGTTTAGCCTTACCTGCTTCACAGGGTTGTTGTGCAGATCAAAAGGGGGAGAGGAGAGTGATGTAAGCTGCTTTGGTCTCCACTGCAGAGAAAGACTGTACTTTTCCTCCTTGGAAACCATTGCTGTCAATCTCAGGGTGAGGGCTGGAGATCACTCAGAATTAAAACTGCTCTAGAGATGGCAGAGATCAGCTCCCCTGGGGATAATGGTACATTGATGGTTGGCTGGGAAGGAGATAGGGTTGCCACCTCCAAGATAGATACAATGCCATACACTCTACCCTCCAAACCAGCCATTTCCTCCTGGGGAACCATTGTTGCAAATCTCCAGGGGAGGCCTATAGATCACTCAGAATTACAACTGCTCTTCAGTTGGCAGAGATCACTTCCCCTGGAGAAAACGGTAAGCTCTGTGTCATTATACCCAGCTGAGGTCACCACAGCAAATTGACGCTGAGTGTCCAATGCCAGGGCACTCGCCCAGAGCCTCTTTCTAGAGCTCGTTGTATTTATTTCCTCAACAGTCCTTATTCTTAGTCTGGTAATAATTCTGCTTTTAAAATCACATTTTGCCCCCAGCTAAACCTGTTGTTGTTAGGGCCAAGCCACAGTAATCACTTATGATGAGTGCAGGTTTTCTCCTGCAAAACCAGATTTCAACACTGCTGCATTACATTTTCCCTAAGCTTCAGGAGCCACATGAAAGCCCCATTGCTTAATGTTCTCCCCACAGAACGGGACAGCATTATCAGGCACAGCTGGTGAATAATTGCAGCTTGCTTTGCCAACTAGTGACTAAGTGGATGCAAAAGAGAGAGATTAAATCATTTACAGATTAGTAATGAGATTTCAGTGTTTTCCTTTTTGCCCCTGTATTCCCATACATTAGAATGTACTTAATGTTATGTATGCACAATATGTAGCAGTGTCTGGGAGTGAATATATGCATATTTATACCTAGCAAAACTTTTCCACACTGTATTTTTATGAGCTTTGGGATGATGATTATTCACTGGGTGCATGGAGAAAGAGCAGAGGGCTCAGGAGCAGCTGAGACTTTTTAAAGCAAGTACAAAATTAGATTTGAGCCCATGGCATATTGTGCTTTATTCATAAATAACACTTCTACTACTATTATATCTAGTATATTATTTCCATAGTTGAACTATTTTGCTCTTTCAAGCTTGTGGATTTTCTACTTTTGTGTTATGAGGCTAAGTATTCTTTCTTCTTGTGTGGAAACAAATGTGGGCTTGCTTTGAATTAATTGAGGTTCCATAACTCAAGCAGCAAAGATGATGATGCTACCAAAACCAGAAGAAATGGAACTTAATAAATGTACTGAAAGGTGTTCCTACACAACCATGTAATCCTATAACATAATCCCACTATCAGACTATACAGACTCTTGATTGATTATTTTAACAAAATAAAAATAAATCCTATTTAGAAGTGTTCACATTTTTACTGTTTCTAAGTGTAAACTGGCTGGACCTTGCATGGATGATAGCCACTCAATAGAATCACACAGAGACTTATGGGACTTCTAAGGTATGCAGAAAAACAGAACTCTGTAAATTAATGAAAGGAGAAGGGGGGGGAACCATTGTGAGGACTGAATATATTCCAGGAGCATGGAATGTCGAGAATCAGTGGAGGATGGGAAATTGCAATGCAGTCCCAAGCAAGGTTACACCCTTCTAAGGCCATTAGCTCCTAACTATGTAGGATTGCACTGTTAAAGTTAAATGAACTTCATGCCTGGTTCAGACTTGCAACTAAAGCCAGGGCTTGAGTGATCAGGAATAGACTATGGGATTGTATACAATATGCCCTTTTGTCTCACACATAAATCCCCATCTGCCCTCTCTACCAATTTACCTCACTATGTATGGCCATATTTACTGTAAGCTCACTAAGAATGTAAGTTTAGGAGCAAACATGGGTTCCAGTGGTGCACAGTGCTGAGTCTGGATAGAGAGAAGTGGGTAGAATTCACATCCAGAGGTGATGGGAAAAACATGTAATCGTGTATCCCAATTCCTAAATCCTGCTTTTATTTGTAATTCTAAATCTGGCCATAGATCACCGGCTGGACAGTTCACTTAAATTATAGCTTGATCAAAAAGGCATGTAGGTATAGCATATGTCTGTGTGTGGTTTGGAAAGTATAAAGCAGTTACTTAAAAAAAAAACTTCTGAAGTCACTCAACTGTTAAAATGCTTGAACTTGTCACTCTCACATTACTTATTTCCCTCCTCCCCCAAATCTGTAGGTGGTTTTTCAATGGGAGGAGGCATGGCAATGCATTTAGCGTATAGGTATCACCAAGATGTGGCTGGAGTGTTTGCTCTTTCAAGCTTTCTCAACAAGAACTCTGCTGTCTACCAGGTGGGTGCCAAACTGTTAACTAGCCAATATTTTTATCTTAAATATCACAGAGTGTTGTACATCAGTGATTAATGCAATGCCCATATTTATTTGATCATTAAAATTTTATTTGATCATTAATTCCCAGAACAGCCATGTTGTATGCTTTTCACAAAGTGGTTCACACACATTTGTTTTAAAGGCACCAGGTTGTCAGTGAACTTCAGAGCTGCAGTTGTCCAATGGAATTAGTTGGCCCCTTGTGGAGACTAAATGTCTATGTTTCAAATTGATTGGATCATGTAGTAATTGCAAAAAAAATGGCTGTAAGGGGTAAAAGGAGTACTCAAGGATGATAGGGAAATGGCTGAGAAGCTGGATGAATTTTCTGCCTCTATCTTCACTGTGGAAGATGAGAAATGCTTGCCCACTCCAGAACCAAGATTTCGGGAGGGGTGTTGAAAAACCTGAGTCAGAATGAGGTGACGAGAGAGGAGGTCCTATGACTGATAGACCAGGCCCAGATGGCGTACATCCGAGAGTTCTGAAAGAACTCAAATGTGAACTTGTGGATCTCCTTACAAAAAATGTAATCTTTCATTAAAATCTGCCTCCATTCCTGAGGACTGGGAGGTAGCTAATGTCACTCCCATCTTTGAAAAGGGTTCCAGAGGAGATCTGGGAAATTACAGACAAGGCAGTCTGACATCAATACCAGGAAAGTTGGTGGAAACTGTTATTAAGGAAAGAATTAGTAGGCACATTGATGAACAAAAACTATTGAGACAGACTCAGCATGGGTTCTGTAAGGGAAGTTCTTGTCTCACTAACCTGTTGGTGTTCTTTGAGGGCGTGAACAAACATGTGGACAAGGGGGACCCAATAGATGTTGTTTACCTTGACTTCCAGAAAGCTTTTGATAAAGTTCCTCATCAAAGGCTCCTAAGTAAGCTCAATAGTCACGGGATAAAAGGACAAGTCCTCTTGTGGATCAAAAACTTGCTAAT